TATAAAATTAACAAAAATAATATAAAACTCATATCCTGGCGAAATAGCCACATGGCAGCCGAAAATCATATATTCCCTTCCTGTTCTCCTGCCCGTGCATGCATTCTTTCCAAAAATCAAGACTTCTTTAAAACGCCACAGGATGCGGGACAAATTGTTAAAAATTGGGACTGTCCTCCCAAAAGCGGGACATCTGGTCACTTTATGCTAGGACTACAGGTGTGCAAAAAGTGACCCTAGCCTGACTGGGCAGTTGGGAGCCCTGTGTCAGGGCGGGTTTGAACCTACCACCTCTGGTATATGGGGCCGGTGCCCTTGCCACTGGGAAGGGGGAAAACAAAGTCCAGAAAGGGCCAGGCACTTGCCCAAAGGCATGCACCAAGGCCAAAGCAGAGCAGGCCTGAAGAGAAGCCTCCCGACTCAGCCAGAGCTCACATCTGTAGAAAAAGCCACAGTCCAGGGAAGGGCAGCCGAGGGCCATCTGGCAGCATAGCCACCACCCTCCTGAGGCTAGCCTCAGAAAAGGGGGTTAGAGCAAAGTAATCTGACGGCGGGGGGAGAAGGGGACCTGGAGGGGGATTGATAGGGCAAAAGAACTCAATGGAGAAGAAATTCCTAAAGATACATGGTCCAGGTTCAAATCCCTGCTCTTCCATTTATGAGCTGTGTGACTTGAGCACACTCTTTACCCTTGCTGTGCTCAGTGCCCACCTCATCAGGACCCTTAAATAAGTTCATAGGTACAAAGAGCTCAGAGACATGCCAGGTAGGGGGTATGTGCTATGCATATGAGAGGAGCACTGTCACTGGGGCATGGGGACAGCACAGCGAGTGCAGATGGTTATGCCAGGCCCGGAGCTGATGGAGGTGACAGGAGCTAAAGCACCACGAGATCTCCTCCCAGCAGAGGCTAGCTTGGATGGACTCTCCAAAGGTCCTGAATGTCCTGATTGGCTGGGTCACTCCAGTGCAGAACAGCCCACTACAGCTTCAGGGCATGAGGTGCCTGACCAGGGGCCCTTCTCTGCAGCAAACCCTCACCTGCTGGGCTCAAGGAGCTGTGGGCACATACAGTGGTTCCCTTTCAGGCTGCTGTTCCTGTGCAGTGCCTCAGGCTCATCCGGCTGGTCTGGAAGCCCTTCCCCCAACTCAGAATGCTCTGACAACCCCAGCTCCGGGATATTGTCCTCATGGCCCCTAGGCAGGACATAATCTGTTAGCCTGAGATGGCCTTGGAGGGTGCTACCCTGGTTCCTCCACCAGCTCAGCCTGGACCAGGGCTGTGGCCAGGGTCAGGGTTCAGGGGCCCCTCAAACCCCGAGCTGGGGTTCAGTCAAGTTAAATAACACAGGCAGGCCCTGCACCAGCTTCTCCAGGTTGGTGGAGGGTGCTGAAGGAGGGCCAAGGAGCCTGTCCCAATTCTCTGGTCTTTTTTTTTTTCCTACTTCAATAAGATGGTCTACCCATTCCCCATCCTGACCACATTCCTCCAGAAAGCCAGAGCCCTCCCTTTCTGCCCACCCCCACACACTAGGGCTGCCCACTCATGCTATGTTCTGCTACAGTGAAGATGTGCCCACCCAACAAACCCTGGGAAAAGGGCCCTAGTGGGAAAAATCTGTTTCCTCTTCCTTTACCACTCAGCTTTCACTAGACAGAGAGATCAAGGCCTGAGAAGGTCTGAGACTTGTCCAAATCCACACTGAGAGACGATGGCAGAGCCTGTGCACAGGTCTTTCATGCCACAGCTGCGGCAGCCTCTCCTTCTACCAGCTGTTCCAAGGCTCAGTTCAGTTCTGCAGAGCATTTACTAGCATATTCTACCTCCCAGCCCTTCAGCCCCTGCCCTGTACTCCAAGCACCAATATCAAATCAGGGTAAAGGGTCTCAGCCAGGGAGGGGCTCCCCTTGGGCCACTGGGGAGGAAGCATGACTGACCTCACTTCCTCGTACTTCTTGTTACGGTAAAACCCACTCTTTTTGAGTAAGTAGATGAGTACCAGGTCACAGATGAAAGCCGCCTGCAAAAGAGTTGGGGTCCCTGACTCAGAATCCTAGACCTCCAGGGAGCTCTGGCTACCTGACACAATCCACATCATTTGATCCTGCAAAAGCCTATGAGGGAGGCAGCACCCTCCCTATTTAACAGATGGGGAACAGGGCTCAGAAAGGGGCACCCTGTCCAAAGCCACAGACCTGGTCCCCGATAGAGCCAAAGTTAGACAGGAGCACCACTGAGCCAACAGACCATCCCAGCACATACCACACGCCCAGGGCTGCACTGGGGTGCACAGAGAACACAAACAAGGAAGACCCTTGGGGACCCCCTGCTCTGGTGCAGGGGACAGGCATGTAAATTATGACCCTGTGACATATCCTATGAAGAGGAGGGGAACAGGAGCAGAGAGAAGATAGTATTTTACTCAGTCTGGGAGGGACAAATGGACTGATTCTTGAGGACTGAATAGGAATTTATACAAGGCAAGGAAAGCCTGGGAAGGACGCTGCAGAGGGAGGAACAAACTTGTCACGCCTGGGAAATGTCACAGGGCCTGTGAGGGAAGAATGAGAGACCCTTCTGGAGAGGCGGCTGGGACCAGTCTAAAAAGCATCTTAGAAAGTTTCTGGCCAGGTGCAGTGGCTCACACCTGTAATCCTAGACTTTGGCAGGCCAAGGCACAGGGACTGCTTGAGCTCAGGAGTTTGAGACCAGCCTGAACAAGAGTAAAACCCTGTCTCTACTAAAAATAGAAAAATTAGCCAGGCGTAGTGGTAGTCCCTGCTATTTGGGAGGCTGAAATAAGAGGATCACTTGAACCCAAGCGTTAGGGGTTGCTGTGAGCTATGATGCCATCGCACTCTAGCCTGGGTGTCAGAGTGAGACTATGTCTCAAAAAAAAGCATTCAAGGCCTTGGTCCTAATCCTTTAGGTAAGAGAAAGATGCTACCTTTCATCAGAGTTGAGACACAAAAATATCCCTCTGGTGGTCAGTGTGAGAAGAATTGGAAGGGCTCTGGACCTGACCAATGAAGATGCTATAGCAGTAGTCAAGGGAAGACAGTGATTAGGCCTGAGCCACCCCAGCTGGGACCCAGTCGCACCTGACCGCTCACTCCTTGACCAAAGCAGGTTGTGTAAATGCCCATCTCTTCCACCAGAGGGCAATGCCACCCACAACCCAGGGGTGGGGACCCTGAACCACTGAGAAGGGAGATGGAGGTGGGGAGGGCATGGTGGGTGGGCTAAGAGGTGGCCCTGAACCTCTGACCCTTGGTGCTGCACACCATTTTTCCCCCGATGCCAAAAACATTATTTGTCAATTCCTTGTTCCACAGAGAACAGCTTCCACTTCAGCCCCTATCACCCTGTTCCCTACACCATTACCCTCCTCTCATGGACCTATCCCTCAGATGGCCTGTGTTTTGATTTTACGCACATCACAAACACATGATGCCTGAAGGCAGCCCCTCTCTAAGACAGTCACATATGCAAACATCCAGGGTCCCTGACAATGACTGGGTCAGGAGGAAGCCATTTGGGGCTCACTTCCACCAACCACCTCTCAACAAGGCCTCTGAGTCCTGTGATAGGACATAATTTTCCTGGCCTCATAAAACATCAGTCCTAGGGCCTGAAAGATCCTCCAATGGGGTTGTTTGGGCTGCACACACAGAGGAATGGGGGAGAAGCCACCAGAAACCTTAGAAAGGGACTTGTTGGGATAGGTAAGAGACACCCACTGAGATGTCTCTTTAAAAACTTTTTAAAACTTCTGGAAGTACAAAGGGCCACTCCAGAGATTCAGAAGATACCTTGGGCTGGGCACTATAGCTCACAGCTATAGTCCTAACACTCTGGGAGGCTGAAGCAGGTGGATTGCTTGAGCTCAGGAGTTCAAGAATCAGACCCTGTCTCTACTAAAAATAGAAAAACTAGCAAGATATCATGAGGGGAACCTGTAGTCCCAGCTATTCAGGAGGATGAAGCAAGAGGATTATTTGAGCCCAAGAGTTTGAGGTTGTTGTGAGCTATGATGAGGCCATGGCACTCTACCCAGGGCAACAGAATGAGACTCTGCCTTGAAAAAGAAAATTGAATAAAAAGAAGAAGAAGAAACTTTGCCCTGTTCTCAACCACTACTTCCTCTTGTGTAGCCCCTCCAGCCCCACCTAGGACCACCTCTAGGGAAAGACTAGGCTGCTCTCCCTGCCTTCCATACTCTCAGCCTGGTTCTACGCCAGGCAGAGTTTGCTCCCCAGGGGACATTCTCAAGTCATTATAACTGCAGGGCTGGGGTTCCTGGCTTCAGTAGGTAGAGGTCAGGGATGTTCCTGAACATCTTAGAATGCACAGGGGACTGTCCTGTGTATTGTAAGATGTTTAAGCACACCAAAGAATGTGTTTAAGACAACCAAGAATTATCCGGCCCCAAATGTCAAAACCCTGTAGGGAACCCCGTGTGTAGCTGGATCCTGCCCTCTTCCAGCAGAAGTGGAGATGGAGACATTAGAAGCTCAGGGGCTAAGCCGGGACCCAGCCCACAGCTGAGCTGGGGACTGACCCAGACTCACCCAGGGTTCCAGAGCTGCAGGCAGGTGCCTCTCTAGCTCTGGAAAGAGAAACTCAGGCCATCACTGCCCCCTGGGGGCAGCTGGCAGGGCATGAAATCCCAGAAAGCCCTCTTTACCCCTATCCATTCTGATCTTGCTGGTCTCACTCCTTCTGGGCCTCAGGACATATTCCTCCTGGGCAGTCACCCCCTCTCCCCACCAGTGGGGCTGCCAGATCAGAGCAGGAAGCAGGGAGGGAGGAGAGAGGTACTCACAACACCCATGAGTGCCAGCCCAGAGCCCACGTTGATGACGGTGGGGATGATGTTGAACTTCCCTGCCTGAAAGGCAGAGACCAGGTGGGTGAGCCAGGCAGGGTGGACAGTGATGTCCCAGGGACCCGCCCAACACCCCCCTCCCACACTGCCCAGCCTCAGAATAGGGGAACCAGCCCACACACCTTGCCATTAACTATCACATCAAAGCGGATCCCATAGGCTTTCATAAGTGTACGGAATTCCACCCCATCCTTGTCTCGGTAGTATCTGGCAAACCTAGGGGAGACAGACCCAGGGAAGCCTCAGCCTGCTGGCCTTCCCTCCTTGGCAGCACAGACTTGGCTGTTTTGAGGACCTGCAAACACTCCCAGGACCCTGACACTTGGACAGGGCTACAAGCCCTTCTGCTGAGCCAAGTGCAGAGACTCATTCTTTGATATCTGTACCCCACATTCCCCACGGGGCCAGGGTCTTCCCACTGTACTCCAGCCCAACTCCTGGGCCACCCAGGCACTGCTGGAAGTGACCCAGCAGAAAAGCCCAGCCTTAGCTTTATGGCACAAGCAGGGCAAGAGGAGATGTTCCTGCCTGCTGTCGTGAGCCACTCCACTGGATCCACTCCTCCTGTCAGCCTCTGTCCCTGCACCTCCTGCTCCAACGCCCACCCCAGGAAGGAGTGTCATAGAGCTGGCACCCAGGGATGGTCATGCCATGTGGTCAGGGGGACACACAGTTACCTGAAGTTAAACCCAGAGGAGACAGACTTTGAGAGTTTGTTGTCCAGACGGCTAAAAGAATAGTGAGGCTTGCATTCAGAGGCAGCTTTATCAAGATCACAGTTCCATTCAATGTGAATTCCTATCACACCACCCTTGAAAAGAAAGAGACAAGGGTCAGCACATAGAACTTCCTAGAAATGGACAGAAGTCACAGCTCAACTCTTTACAAGAGCTAGACAAGTCAGGGAAGTGCTCAGGCAAGAGGTCAGCCCCGCTGGACCACTCTTCCAGAAGGTTCTAACTCTATCCATCAAGTGTCTGTGAGAATCGCCTAAGCCCCAGGAGAGAAGAGAACTACTCAGAGCAAGCACCTTTTATGACAGGCACTTCACATAGGGGCCAGGATATGCCCATGGGGGTCTTTCTGGCCCAAGTCCCACTGATACTTCATCTGCCCCTCACTGATGCCTGTGGTCCCAAGCCCTGCTGCAGCCCAGCTGTGTGCCACAGCCAATTCTGAAAACTGTTGAGTCCCTGGGGTAGGTGACTTTGCAGGGTCCCTGGCCCGCAGTCCGCCTCCACACACCCCCCTCCTTGTTACACAGCCCAGCTCCACAGCCCCCAGCCCTAGTGAGGGCTCCCTGAGCTGCAGCACCAACCTCCAGGGCGATCTCGTGGAAGGTGCTCCCCGCCCAGCGGATTATGGACCCCAGGTGGAAGATGGGACAATAGGGGTTCTTGGGGTCAAAGCGACAGGATTTCAGGAAAGATTTTTTCTTGATGTTCATCACATTGTTCCTGGGTAGAGGCCATGCACAGCCAGGGAGATGAGGGTGAGCCTTGCTGGGCCTGACCTCAGAGCCACTGGGTCCCTCACCCAACCCAAGTCCTAACCACTTTCCTCAGCTGACATCCTGCTCCAGGCCTCAGCAAGGAAAGGGATGCCCCGGTGTCACCCACCCCTTCATGCACAAGCACACATGGGCGTGCACAGAAGAAGGAGGGCAAGCCCAGATCCTCAGGGGCCCCAATCACGAACCAAGGACCCCCCCACCCAGTCCCTAGTGGCCAAGCCCCACATACCTGGAGAAGTTGAATTTGGGGAACCGAACGAAGTTCTTTATGTAAATGGTGAAGTCTTCAGCCTTCTTTAGGAATGGCTCCCTGAAAACCAACCCAGAGCAGCCTGTCCAAGAGGCCCTGCCTGCCCCTCCTTAGCCTCCCCAAGGCCTGTGAGAGAGCCTAGGCCTGCTCCCTGGGTCCCTTGGCATCTTTGCCAAAGACAGCTAATCTGCTCCTCAGGCCTCTCTGGGACATGCTGACTTCTCCCTCACAATGAGGCTCTAGAGTGGGCTGTTTCTGCCCTCCCGCTAGCATTCACTGCCCAGGACTAGAAAATGCCTCAGGGATATGAGGCTGCAGCCACTCACACTGGCTTGGATTTTATCTC